AAAAAACGGTGATTGGAAGCCAATAGCATATTTCAGCCAGTCTACTAATCAAGCGGAAAAAAATTATCATAGCTTTGAGCTTGAAATGCTAGCTATCGTACGGTCGATAGAACGTTTTCACATTTACTTATACGGCATTAAATTCACAGTAATTACGGATTGCAATGCATTAGTTTACGCAATAAATAAAGCCAACTTAAATCCGCGAATCGCACGTTGGACTCTCGCTTTACAAAACTATCATTTCTCAGTCGCGCATAAATCAGGCGGACAAATGGCACATGTAGATGCGCTCAGCCGCATAGCCTTATACGTGGATACGCTAACCCTGGAGCGCCAGCTCGAACTTAAACAACTATGCGATCCTTATCTTAAAAACATAGCTCGCGAATTAGAGTTTCGCGACGATAAACAGTTCACATTGATTGACGGCTTACTCTATCGGAAGGTCGACAATCGCTCACTGTTTGTAGTACCGGAATTAATGACGACAAACGTGATAAGGACATATCACGACGAAATGGCGCATTGTGGTCTGGAAAAAACCTTACAAGGAATTTCTCGAACGTATTGGTTTCCGACTATGCGCAAAAAAATTGCGGACCATATCGACCACTGCATAACGTGCCTTATAACAAATTTCTCTTCACATGCGCGTGAAGGAGAACTTCAGCTAATACAGTCATCCACGGTTCCCTTCCAAGTTTTACACATGGATCATTTTGGTCCTCTACAGCAAACATCCGGAAATTACCGCCACATCTTAGTAATAGTAGATTCATTCACTCGTTTCACGTGGCTCTTTGCTGTAAAGACAACAAGGTCAAAAGAAGTCAATCGCAATTTAAAGGGGTTGTTTGACATTTTTGGAATACCAAAAGAAATAATTACAGACAGAGGATCTGCCTTTACCTCTAATGAATTTAAACATTTTGTAGAGTCTTTGAAAATAAAACACAGGTTAATTGCAGTCGCATCACCTTGGTCGAACGGTCTCGTAGAGAGAGCTAATCGATTCATAAAATCATCATTGAAAAAGCTGGTCAAGTCACCAGACGACTGGAAAAACTGCCTAAATAAAACACAATATGTAATTAATAATACGTATCATAACGGTATAAAAAATACACCTTCTAAATTGCTGCTAGGTTATGACCAACGTAATCATTCGGATATAAGACTCACCGAATTTGTTAACGACCTTAAGCAAATAGACTCAGATCTTAACGCAGAACGCGACGTTAATCGCGATGTAGCTATCCAAGCCACGGAAAAATTAAAGCAGTATAATAAAAAATATCGCGACGCAAAATACAATGTACCAACGAAGTATAATGTTAACGACTTCGTAATGATTCGAAATCTGCACGCCAAACCCGGCCAAAGTACAAAATTTGACGAACCTTATAAAGGTCCTTTCCAGATAGCAAAAGTGCTGGATTTCGATCGATACCTAGTCGTAGATATACCGGGTTTCAATTTGTCGGCAAAGCCGTATAAGGCAATACTGTCCCCCGACAAACTAAAACCCTGGATACGCCCAGCGTAAGGTTTGGACGATAAGGTTAAGTTTAGACTTAATCATTGTTTATAATAGATTTAAGATAATTGGTGCCAACTAAATTCAAATTTGTATTTTTTTAGTTTATATTTGGCACTCGCAAGCAAGCGAATTTTGGTTAGTTTTTAAGTTAAAAAGTCGCAAAGCGAAGTCATCAGCAACAGAATAAAAATTTTATTCGAGGACGAATAAAAGAGCAGCATGGCCGAGCTGTAAGAAATTTGCTAACATAAGTCATTTATAACATATTCCAATCGCTGCTGACATCTGCGCCGACTTGCGTTTACTACGAAAGCGGAAAACGGAGCATACAGCGACGCGCAGATCACGCACGCTGTACGTGAAGTCAACCGGCAATAAAACCGGTGTAATTCGGCACAACGGCACGAGTCGTTAAATTTTCCTAAGAGAGAGATACTCTGCTCTCTAGACGCTCGTCAGCTCTTTGTTCTTTTATTCGGTTCTTTACCTAACGGTATACCGATTCAGTTCGAATCAGTGCGATTCTAGTATTACTCGTTAATTCGTGTAAATTGAAGTACAACAAGGAAGTGTTAATAATAAAGTCAATGCCCAAAGTGACGAAGATTTATCTTACTACCTTCCTTAATCTCTATTCTCCTGACATTATCCTACAATCTTCATACAATCCCAGAATTACTCAATTAACGGGATTTTACATAACATCCCCTACACTATTTACACACATAAATTCACTTTTTCGATTTACTTGTTCCATTAGCAAATTATTTGTCAAAATCAATACTTCTCCGAATTCTGTTTCTTAGCAACATATATTTTTATCTACATGATACCTTACTTCACTTATTATTCTCTCTCGTACCAAATACATTGTGTACAAATTTCCCGAATAAAATCTTTATTCAGAAAAACTGTAAAGGTCATTTATAGTTGATTAAGACGCCACAAATTGGTGGCCCCGACGTGATACTGTTGACAACTTTTGATGGAGATTAATACCGTAGCATAATATCAGTTGGAAGCGATTTCTTCAGACCGAGGGCTTAATTGGAGCACTTGTAGGATCCTGTATTTACTAAGTTTCATCTAAGAAGATTCTTCACAATACCAGTGGATAGGACTCCCATTAAATTGCCTGAATCTCCAGTAACATCACCTGACAATGGTGAGATATCAACCTTTTCTGGAGCTGAGTTAAGAGGAACAAATTTGTCGAATGCGGAACCGCTTCAATCCGGTGAGTTGAGACAAGTTAATTCAAATGAATTTCGACTTATAAAACTACCAACTTTCTGGCATAAGCATCCGAAACTTTGGTTTGCTCTTAGAGAGCGAATTTCTTGTATATAGAATTCGTTCAGATGAAGTTAAATTCAGTTCGGTTCTTAGACACTTAGATGAACAGACACTTTTAACTGTTTCCGATATTGTTGAAAACGCTCCTGAAAAAGATAAATATATCACCTTAAAGACTGTTCTCATTAATCGTTTTACTGATTCTGAAGAAAAACGGCTTAGACAGCTTTTACGGGGATTGAGCTTAATGACAAGAAGCCTTTCGATTTATTACGAGAGATTAAACAACTTTCTGCCATTGCCGGCGCCATTGTAGATAATATCTTACATTCTATTTGGCTACAAAGATTACCTCTTAGAGTCCAAGCCACGCTTGCAGTCGTTGACGATGTTCCGTTAATTAAGCTAGCGGAGCTGGCTGATAAAGTTTTAGAGCGAGACAATAGCCAATCCGCGTGCCGCAGCCACCAACAATATTCATTGTAAGGTAAGACATCACCTCACCACATTTCGGTTACCGTGACCGCGAATTCCATCCCCGCGTAGCATGTGCCCGTTTCATCCGCTCTCGCGTCCACCTATCGACATTCGCTTATTAGGAATCAGCCCGTACACAGCATGGATACGTAGTGCATGTTGCGTGTCTTCATTGTTCTTTCGCCACACAGGAAATAGCGAGATTAAATGCCCCGAATGTTAAGGGTGGTTTACATTGGACGTAGAACGTAACGTAGACATAGACGTAGACGTAGACGCAGACGTAGAAATTCTTTGTGGTTTACATTGAAGTACTTTTCAGTATGTGATCGTGGTCCTTATAACCAATCACAGAGCTGCATCCTTAACCTTACTTTTATTTCGAAAGTTTAGTGTTTGTTTTGCGAGTATCAGTGATTGTATTTTCGAATACGAAGTAAAAAGATAAGCGAAGAATTAGATCGTTTGTTAATTTTAATGGTGGAGAGTAATCCTCATTTATACGATAAAAAATTACCGGGTTTTAAAGACAAGGTACTTTGCAATAATTCATGGAAGTCTATTGGCGATCGATTGAATGTCAGCTGTAAGTCTATAATTGTTGTTTTAATTTGTCGAATTGTTTAATAAAAAAATAATAAAATATTTAATTTATTTGCAGCGGAAGATGCTATGCGACGTTGGAAAGTTCTAAGAGAACGTTTCAGCAAGGTTAGGAGACAAAAAGCAAACATTCCTTCTGGGTCTGGTGCATCGTCAGAAAACCAGGAAACTGAATGGTCTTTATATAATACCCTACTATTTTTACAACCCCATGTACAAAATAGAAAGTAAGAATAACTTTTGTAGTATGTTCTATTTTGTTGTACTTAGTGTAATATATATGGAATAATGTTATGTACAGGTCAATTGGTAACTTAGCATTGAATGCCAGTCAGAAGAATAAATTTTCAGACGATATTCTTTATGTCGATGAGAGCTCACCAGAAACTCAGTTAGATGTATTGGACGAATCAGTAGAATACATAGATGAAGATGTTCACAACTACCTGTTAAATATAAAAAAGGAAACAGGGGACGACGGAACTTCGAAATGTACCGAAAAATTGGATTTCAATAAGAAACGACCATTGTTGGAGATAGAAAATCAACAAAAAAAGAAAAAAAAACCTCAACCTCCTGAGGAACGTCTTATCTCCATGCTCGAAGGCGTACAAAAAACAATCGTAAAAAAAGACGATATAAAAGATGATACTCTTTGGAATTTTTGCATTTCATTATACGGATCGATGAAAAAAATGACAAAGACAAAAGTGAAAAACGTGAAATTCAAAATTTCTCAACTTCTCTATGAATTCGAGTCTGACTCGGAAAATTAAGGTATACGATATGTACATAATATGTCATAAATATTAGTTTAAAAAGTAAAAATAGTTTATTACATAAATTTACATACTTTTACATATTGTTTAATATACAAATTGTATTTCTTTATTACAGCAACAGGACGATCACGATTAGTTGAACACAAGACCAAAGAAAGGATATATCCAGTGAGAAATGGTACGTCGAATTGATGTGATTTGCTGTACCATTTCTCACTAAGTATGTATTGTTATATGTTGTGATAAATGCATATATTGATAGTTAATATCTGAAAATATATTCATACATTTTAAAAACTTCCTCGTTTTACATAATTATACTGCCAATCTACTTCTCCTTCTGGCGACACAAGATAATCAGCAAGGGTATTTCGTAAATCAATATTCGCTTGTGTAGAACGATTTGTCCCTGTGCGACCTAATTCATCAATCTGAGGACAGTTTACTCGCCAGTCACCAAGAATGACACGTCCTGAATCATCATAACGATCTACATAATTATCTGGACAATAATAACGCTGCTTACTTGTCGATTCTTCTATTTTAACGAAGTTATGTAAACATAATGTAGCGCATACAATTCTTTCAATTGTACTAACATCGGCAATTATGTTAGTATGTAGAATTCGCCACCGACTGGCTAAAATGCCAAAGGTATTTTCAATAACGCGTCGAGCACGTGATAGGCGGTAATTAAAAATTTGTTGTTTTTCTGATAAATTTGTTCCGGGATAAGGCTGCATTATATAGTGCTTAAGTGGAAAGGCTTCGTCTGCAGCCACAAAATACGGAAACGCAATATTAGTTCCACGTAAATTGGTAGAATCTAGAAGGCCTAATTCATTATTATCCATAGCTTTCCCAAATGTCGATTCTTTAAAAATGCCACCATCGCTTTGAGATCCGAAAGCACCGACATCAACAAGTGTAAACAAGTAAAAAGCATCGCAAACTGCCATTAGAACTATACTAAACGTTTTTTTATAGTTAAAATACTGCGAACCCGATTTTTTTGGAGCTTGAATCGTTATATGCTTCCCGTCCATCGCACCAAAACAATTAGGTAAATTCCAGCAATACCAGAACTCCGTTGCTTTAGTTTCCCATTCTTCAGTAGTTGGTGGTTTTAAGTAAATTGGGGATAATTGATCCCAGATAACTGCACAAGTCTCTCGTATCACGTTGCTGACTGTGGACTTGGAAACACAGAAGCTCCATGCAACTACCTGCATGCTCGGTCCATGGGCTAGATAACTAAACAAATACGTATAATTATCTAATAACAAATGCTTAACCCAAAAATAAAATTCTGAAAAATATATTTATTATAATACTCACTACAATGTCATAACCAGCCGAAACTCCGGACTTAATGGCTTTCTTGGACTGATCTTTATTAGTCTATCTTTAACAAGATCCAGCAACTTTTCAAATTGGTTGACTGTCATTCGAGTGAACTTAAAAAATTGTTCATCATCTTTCTCTTTTATATATTGGAACAAATTATAATATTGGCTCCGTTTTTCCCGATTTCTCAACAGCGGACGAACCCACCATCGTCGCTTGTTACGAACTTTTTTTTTGGCAAAGATCTTAAAATCATACCTACTGCAGTGAAAATTAAACAAAATCTTAATAATTCCAACTTTTCAATTTCATACATTTTATAAAGTGAATATATCAATCGTGGTACAGTTTAGAGGTTAACCGGTAAATGTCCGCGCAAATGGTATACACCGGGCATCCCTCTCGTGATTGGCTGGACGTAGAAAAATATTAAAATTTTAAAATTCTACGCCTACGTCTACGGCTACGTCTGCGCTTAAGTTTCAATATGGACGGTAACATGCTATTCCTATCTTTCCAATTCTTACGTCGACGTTTATGTCTAAGTCCTACGTCCAATGTAAACCTAGCTTTACTCTTCTTTGTCTGTTCATGAAAAACGAGATTACTTAGGGATACTGCGGCATTACATTCATTTAGGCTTCCCCGAAAGATTCGAGACCTGCAGCGAATGTTCCGTATCGTTGGCCTCCGTACATAATTTTGCGAG